CAGTACCTGAACTTGAGCTCCATTTTTATTGATACTACGTATTGATTCAGAGTTTTCTCAAAACATAAAAGTTGTAGCTTTTGAAGTCCTTGTGGTGCCTGAAAAATTTCAGGTCAAACAGATCTATGTAACCTGAGTTATGGTCAAAATAGTCGCACCTATTCTAAACTCAGAATTCTGCCGCGTTTCTTGTTTTAGCCTCTGACCATGTTCTGTTTGTTTTGATAAAGTACGAACTGGGTGTTAACCTCTTCATAGTAAATGTAGATCTTGGTCTTAGCTTCGAAACGGTATAAAGTTCGTCCAAATCCGAGTCCCGTAGCTTCAGTTATGACCAAAACAAGATCGGTTGTCAAAACTGCCTTCGAATTTGGATAGTTCTGACAGGAATGTTTGGACCCATTTTCCTCCATGCTCTGTATTGATTCAGCTTTTAGTCCAAACACAAAAGTTATAGCTTTATGGATGAGCTTTCTAACGCCTCTGGAATTTCTTGATTCTGATTTTTGAGCCATGAGTTACGGTCTTTCAAACAGGGCCTGTTTGGTAAACCGAAATGAAATGGCTGGAACAATTTTGTGCATTTTTGACCAATACCCATTGAGATCTGGGTTGAGATGTTTAAATAAAAGTTGTAGCCCTTCCTCATAGTTTCGAAACGGTGTCTCACCCACCTTGATCCAATATTCCTAGCCTAACTTTTGATTAAAACGGTTTGAGATGGCAGATTTGGTCGTTTCCGTTTGCCGTTCCGCGCGCGCGCGTGTCCATTTTACCGTTTCCGCACTTGCATGTGCCGATTTTGCCGTTTTGCTTGTTTTGGGCATGTTAGTAGCTGTTTGTGATATAATGTGATGCAATCTTCCATTTCAGACCGTGCTGAACTAGGCGGAGCTGGTGGGACCTACTAGCTAACATGCACGAAGTGATTTCTGCTCTTGTACTACTTTTGTGTTTTGAGTAAGTATTCAGGCCGTTTATGTGTACAAATTGCTTATGTGTCTTGATGTAAATAAAAAGGGGGATTTAGGCGAGGGTGTACTTTATTACACTCGACCTAAACCCTAGTTTGTACCTGTGTTTCTCCATGAGATATGTATATATGAATTATTTTGGTGCTGAACCCCTTGAACTTGGAGCTCGGGGTGACTTTCGTGAATTTGTGAAATACGATGAAGTTGTGGGACCGATCTCAAGACCTGTATGGACTATTCGAACCGGCCGGGGCTTGGTCGAAACCAGTCCAACCTAGTCTGAGGTCACCAAGTTCGTAGGTTCCAGTTGAGAACCTAATTTGTGACCCGAGCTTGTGACTCAAGCTCAAATTTATGATTTCGTTCGCTCGAGCAAGTTTGTGAGGTGACTGGCCAATGAGGGTGATAAGGTGTTAGGTGGGTATACAAGTGGAGTTCTACGGACCATATTTGTGGTCGACGGAGTGTCGGCAGGAGGTCACGCATGGCAAACGACTTGGCTTTGGAGCCAACCTGTATCCTTCCTTTGTATTGTTACTTTTGCACTTGATTTGGCATTTTGTGAAATAGTTGTTTATTTAAAGGCAAAATTTACGTGTTTACCCCTAATTACTTACTAAATTTCTAACTTACCTCTTTCCTTTATTTTCCTTAACAGGGGCCGACACGGGGTAACTTTTAGCACAATCACTAGTATAGCGAGGTTTAGTTTGTAATAGTTAGTCAACTAAGATGTACCTTTTTGTTTTGGTGATTTGTATAATGACCCATCTTAGGGTCTACTTTCTGTTGGTTGTTATTATAATGTAATATGGTGGTCTAAATAGCTACTTTTGGGAATGTAAGTTGAACTCTTTTGGAGATTGCATATATTGTATATAGTACTCTTTTGGTGTATCTAGCTTTTATTATTTTAAAATTTTGAGTTCTGGCGCGAGTTAGGCAGGCGGCCCGCTGATACCCTCGGCTTCGCCCTTGGGAGAAGTGAGGTCGTCACACTTTACACTTTGAGCTTGATAGAAAAATAAAACTTTGTGAATTGTTCAAAAAGGAACAAGGTGATTTGAAAAGAAGAATGGATGGTCTAAATGAGTTGTTTAAATACAAGAAACAAGTCTGTTTTCAAAAGAATAGGTTGAATTCTAATTCCAACGAATTTGCTATTTATAAAAGAAGACAAGTAAGATTTATTAAACCTGTTCATGTAAAGGTCACATGAAAAGTGATTGCTATGTGGAAAATATGAAAAAAAACATGAAATGCATGTGAATAATTAGACATGATGCTAACTCTAACAAGTAGGAGATATTGGTAGGATTGATGAGATTCTTGTTCATAATGATTTTCTGTAATTCTTTTTTGAAGTTTCTGATGCTTAGAACTGAGCTTTTTCTTGATATTTTTGAATATTACTGAATTTATATGATGACAAAAAGGGGGAGAAATGGATGCTATGTGTAAGGGGGAGTTATTCTGAATTCATAAGTTTTGATGCATTGTGTGAGGGGAGCTTATGCTTATATGCCCAATTTTTTTTTTCTTTCTTCCATCCATTGTTTAGTCATCATACAAAAGGAAGAGAATGTTGACCTTAGTCCCTAGCTTTTGATGATTACAAAACAAATGAATGTTGTTAACATCTCCGTAAAGGTTTTTTCAGAAATGAAACATATCAGATTCAAAGATTAAGCATATTTGAAAAAAACAGAATATGCTGAACCTGTCGGACGCTCTAGAAGACAGTACCGGACGTCCGATAATCATTGCACAACTTCGGACGCATGTTTCGGACGTCCGATAGGATCTTTCGAAGTCGACAAAACTATCGGACGCTGAATATGTCTCTACCGGACATTCGATAGAAACAAGATAATTTCTCAAATCTCTTTGTTTGCTGTCGAACGCACAAAAAGCTTGCACCGGACGTCCGAAAGAATTGAAGAAAATCTCTTAAACTCACTGCCTATTGTCGGACGCATAAAACAGGGCTATCGGACGTCCGACACTCCAACGGCTAGTTGACTCTTCAACTGCTTTCTATCCGTTGGAAGCATTAATGAGGCACTTTCTTGGTCCTATATGAATAGTGATTGGTCAAATATTTCAAACAATTTTGACACACTGAAGATATAAAAGATCTTGAGTGATTTTGGTGAGAAAATACTCTTCAAAGAAGATTTGTAGTCTTAGTGGTGTGAGATTCATTGTAAGTTTTTCATTTGTGAGTGAATACTTCATGAGTGTAGATCTGTGAGGGTTGTCCTGAGGGATAGTAAAACGTCATGGCTTGACCGAGTGGAGTTCGGGGCAAGGAGGAGGTGAACCTTCCTTTGTACACAAGAGTGATTGTGTAAGGATCGAAGACAACCTAAGAGGAGGGGTGAATTAGGTTTTCTAAAACCAGTTAAGATATAGGTCACTCTTTTTCAGGCCTACCCTTCTTTTCTCAAAGACCACTCAATGGATCAGTATACAAGGAAGCACAGGTGTTTGTGAGATGAAAAAGTGAACAGTGTATATAGTAAAGCTGTAAACGAAAGTAGAGAAACAAACCAGGCTTCAAACTCAAATTGAGTTTGAACAACACTTTATATAACAAGTTACTTCAAGTTGAAGAATCTTGCAACCAATATCTTGTGTACAATGGAAGAATCACTTCCTTCTTGCCCCAAACCACACTTGGTCACGCAAGGAAGTTTTACAAGCACTCAGAAAACCCTCACAATGCTACACTATTGAAGAAGCTGTGTCACACTTGAAAAGCTATAAGACAAAAATGTACAAGCTAAGAATACAAATATTTCTTTTGAGTATTCTAACACTTGAATCACTCACGATCAGATGTAGACTTGATGTGCAAAGTATTTTTGAAGTCGTTGACTTTGTTCATTTTATAGGAGACCAAAAAACTCTTCAATAAATGCTGTCAACGGATACATGGCATCTGAAGAGTCAACTAGCCGTTGGTGCTGTCGGACGTCCGATAGTCAGTTTTTATGCGTCCGAACGAGATCAGTGAATTTGAGAAATTTTCTTGAACCTCTTAGGACGTTCGATCCCCTCTCACCATGAGTCCGAGGGTGAGATGCAGACTTGAAGGTTCCTCTTAAATTCCTTCGGACGGCCGATACGTCCAATGTTTTATGTCCGAAGTGCAGCAACGCTTGTCGGACGTCCGATACACAGGTGTTGAGCGTCCGATCATGATCAGTAATCGTAGAAGTCCTGGCTTGTCTATTTCGGACGTCCGAGACAGAGTTTTTCATACGTCCGAAGTTACTCAATGAATGTCGGACGTCCGATTCTCTCCTTTTGTGCGTTCGACATCTTTCTCATCACTTTTCACCTTTTTTATCTTCTTTTTGCTCTGAGTCCACAGTCCTGTTTTAATGCCATTTCTGAAAGTAGTCTTTACAAAAAGTATTAGTATCATCCGTTTGTTTTGTAATCATCAAAAGATATGAATTGAGATAAACAATCTCCCCCTTTTTGATGATGACAAAACACTTGGATAGAGCAAAAAGAAAAGTAGAAATACAAGCTGGGATTACAACTCCCCCTAAAGAAGTGCACGAGTATATGAGAAGAAACGCAACTCCCCCTAAAACTGACTCTTCCTAACTAATTTCTTTATATCACCATCAGTGCTAATCCATTTCTCCCCCTTTTTGTCATCACAAAAATAGAATATCAGCACGATCTTTCAGAAACAGAGATTTTGCAATCAAATAGTATCAGCAACATCCATTCATGCTTAGCACAATCATAACATAATATCAGAGACATTCATCCAAAAACATCAGATAGCAACATCACATTAGAAACATCAAATAGCACCAGAAACACTTAGTCATAGCATCCAAAAATAGTAGAAAATATCCAGTTGTACAGACCAGAGATACAACTTTTGATACAAAAGTTTAGCAATGCAAAAGATAAACTATAGTCCTAAAATAAGATGTAGTGACCTAGCAGTGCCTAGATAGTGATCTTAGATGACCCAGGCCTCCTCCTGGCCAGACGAAACTATTCAGGATCCACTTCTTCCTCAGTTTCTTCATCGTCTTCTTCATATGCCTCCTCAGTAGCTGGAGCCTTGCCTTTATCCTTAGGCTGAGAGCTGAAAGTTGGTGTGGCTTCAGTACCAGTAGTTGGCCCTATGGGCTCAGATCTTAGCTCTTTCTGATAGGTATTTTCATTGTTTTTAGGTTCAAGAGGCACAAGAAGGTTTCTTTTTTCAATGAAAGAAGATTGTTGGGCAGGAGACATGGTCATCATGAGACAATCTTCAATAAGCATAATATGTTGTTTAAGGTTTTCAAGCAGGGAGATGACCTCAGAATTGGAAGAAAAAGACTTGCTGGCAGACTTTCTAGGATGAATAGTGAAAGGAGAGACATAATCTGACTGATCACGAGTAGTCCTAGGAGTGACAGGTGTTTCATGAAAGTTTTTCCTTCTAGACTCAGCCACAGTCTCCTTATAGCACCAATGGCCATCAAAAAATCTTAAATTCTTTCTTTCAAAATAAGCTTTTGAGAAAACTGTTGAAGCACTGTCTTTGGGTGATTTTCCAGAAAAAGGTATTTCAAAATGAGCCAAGATAGGGGTCAAAAATCTTCCATAAGAGAGCTTCCTACGACTGTCAGTGCTAATTTTGAGCAGAAATTTGCACATCACAAATCCAAAGTCAATGCGGATTTTTTCAACAAAACAGTAGAAAAGATAGAGTTCCATTTTGTTTGCATCTATTCTGTGACCATCAGTTGGCACCAACAGATTTGAAATGATGGTGAAGATGATCAGATTCTGAGAACTGAGATCATCTAATCTTGCCTCAGCAGGGGTATTGAATTTGGTTTGAAAATAGGTCATGAGTTGAGCATTGTAAAAATGATGGTAGGTAGAAGGAAATTCCTCATACGAAAAGAAGTTTGTAATTTTTCCTTTGTAACCATCTTCAATCTTTGTTTTCAAAATGGAGTTTACAATGTCAGGTGTTAATGTGATGTTCACAGAGTTGACCCTAGAGATGAGTTATGTGTGTGAGTTACCCTTTCTAAGATTAGCAAAGAACTTATAAAGCATGTCAGGGTAAAAGGTATTAGGAATGGTCAGAAGATGAACCCATTTTTGGAATTCAAATAGTTTAATAACAGGTTCAAGATCAAGCTTACGAAATTCGTAGGGAAGGATGAGCCTTTGGATGATGAACCCTTTTTGAGAGACTAACTCAAATCTGTCTCTGGCTTCATCATCAATGAATTTTGGAAGAGGAGTGGGTTCTGTTACGGGTTGAGATACTGGAGTCTTTCCAGAGCGTTTCTCTTTCGAGATTTGTGTGGCGGATGCCTCCACATTTTGAGTCTCAGATCTTGTCCTTGGAAACTTCCTGGTGGAGGGTTCAAGTGTTTGCTGATTCTCAGCAGTGTTTCCTTCATTCTGCTGATCAACAGAGGGATCAGCAGATGGCTTTTTCTTGGATTGGGGAGTGCTCTTCCTTTTTGCAGTTCTCTTTCTTTTACCAGATGACCTTGTGACAGTTTCATCACCCTGGATAGCCCGCTCTGGTTCCTCATTTCCGCCAATTGTGTTTTCTTCAGGGTTCTGCTCTTCCATCTGCTCATCAGTTGGTTCAGCAGTTGGAGAAACCAATTTTTTTTGGGCAGTTTGCTTCACTTTACCACCACGGGTCACAATCTTCTTTTTAGGTGCCTTAGTAGATGGGTCCACAATTTCAATGTCCTCATCTCTAGCCTAAAGGACCGTCCGGCACTAGTAGATCCTCCTCTGATTCTAACCATGATGCAATGTGGATGTGGTTTTTGATGCAGAATGTGGTGTATAGAAGAAGAATGTAGTATGAGCAACCGATAATGCACTGAAATGCCGCAAGGAGAGAATTATGTGGAGTTAGGGTTTCGTATGTAAATTGGGAGATTTGGAGTAGTTGGGGGTTAGGAGAGATTTTTATGGGTGATTAATGAGCAATAGAGGTGTAATAGAGTTGGTTGAGTCAATTTCTTGGAATTTGGTTTGATGAGAGAGGAATTTGAATTTCAAATATGAGAGGAAACTGAAAGGTTGCGTCCGAGACTATGGAAGAAAATGAACTGAGAAGGATGGGTAACTGCCTTATAGGGCTCAATTTTTGAGTGTCGGACGTCCGAACGAAGTGAAGCGTTCGACACAACCGTCCAAACCAGTGTTTTTCTGAAATTCGACGAAGAACACTGTCGGACGTCCATTCCAATTCATCGGACGTCCGATAAAGATTGACTAGAAACGAAACTTAGAATATTTTTTCTGAAACGCCCAATTTTACTCTCAAGAACACAAATTGATCCAATGGAAGAGCTTTTGTGAGGATATCAGCGATTTGCTCTTTAAAACAAACAAACTCAACATGGATTACCCCCTTGGAGACAAGATCGCGAATGAAATGATGCTTTATATCAATGTGCTTAGTCCTAGAGTGTTGAATCGGATTTTTTGTCAGATTAATTGCACTAGTGTTGTCACAGTACATAGATACACATTCATATACTAAACCAAAATCATTCAATGTGTTTTTCATCCATAACAATTGAGCATAACAAGCACCAGCAGCAACATATTTAGCTTCAGTAGTGGACAATGAGATAGCATTTTATTTTTTACTAAACCAAAATACCAAGCAATTTTCAAGAAAGTTGCATATACCAGTAGTACTTTTTCTATCTATTTTACAACCATCGAAATCAGCATCAGAGAATCCACATAAAGAAAGTTCATGACATTTTGGATACCACAAGCCAAAGTTTAAGGTTCCTTTAAGATATCTAAATTTTTTTTTTACCGCATTCAAGTGTGACTCCTTTGGACATGATTGAAATCGAGCATATAAGCATACAGCAAACATGATGTCAGGCCTACTGGCAGTTAAATAAAGTAAACTTCCAATCATACCTCGATACTTCTTTTCCTCAACTTTTGTACATTCTTCATCTTGTCAAGTTTGGTAGATGTGCACATAGGTGTTCTAACAGGTTTTGAGTCCTCCATTCTGAATCTTTTTAGCAGCTCCTTGGTGTATTTTGTTTGATTTATAAATGTTCCATCTTGAGTTTGAACTACTTGGAGTCCAAGGAAGAAGTTTAACTCTCCCATCATGCTCATTTCAAATTCTTTTTGCATGATGATGGAAAAGTCCTTGCACAAGCTCTCATTTGTAGCACCAAATATGATATCATCCACATATATTTGCACAATTAAAAGGTCTCGTGAGCTTTGTCTTGTGAAAAGTGTAGTATCTACAATGCCCCTTTTAAAACCATTTTCAATCAAAAAACCACTCAAACGTTCATACCATGCTCTAGGAGCTTGTTTTAATCCGTATAAAACTTTTGAGAGTTTAAAAATATGATCTGGATAAGATTTATTTTCAAAACCAGGAGGTTGGTCAACATAGACTTCTTGATCTATAAAGCCATTTAAGAAGGTACTTTTAACATCCATTTGAAATAATTTAAAATTCTTGAAACAAGCAAATGCTAGAAACATTCTAATGGACTCCAATCTAGCTACAGGTGTAAAGGACTCATCAAAGTCTATTCCTTCTTCTTGAGTGTATCCTTTTGCCACCAGTCTGACCTTATTTCTAACAACCTCCCCTTTGTCATTCATTTTGTTTCTAAAAATCCATTTTGTGCCAATAATAGGATGGTCTTGTGATCTGTCAACCAGGGTCCAAACCTCGTTTCTTTCAAATTGAATTAACTCTTCTTCCATAGCTAAAATCCAGTGCTCATCATTCAATGCATCAACAACATTTTTAGGTTCAAAGTGTGATACTAATGCACGATTATCTACTAAGTGTCTAGAGGAACAAGTTCTGACCTTTTCAGATGGATCACCAATTATAAGCTCCCTGGGATGGCTCTGGACAAATTTCGAGATTCTTGGAAGATCATTAGGAATAGTGGCATCACTGTCATTTACTTCTCCAGTTGGACTGTCTTGAGTATCAGCATTCTTTGAAACAATTTCTGGTGAAGCAGAGTCATGATCATTGATTGCTAACTTCTTTAGTTCTTCTTGTACACCTGTATCATCATCTTCACCACAACCCATGGAAATGTTACCATTAGATTCATCAAAAGTAATGTGTATCGCCTTCTCTATAACCAGTGTTCTACGATTATAGACTCTGAACCCTCTTTTGTTTTCACAATATCCCAAGAAAATTCCCTCATCAGATTTCTTGTCAAACTTTTCAAGATGTTCCTTGATGTTCAAAATGAAACATTTACAACCAAAGACTTTGAAGTAACCAATAACAGGCTTTTTGTCAAACATGAGCTCATAGGAAGTTTTGTTCAAAATTGATCTTAAGAGAACTCTGCTCATGGTATAACAGGCTGTGTTTATGGCTTCAACCCAAAAATATTTTGGTAGATTGCATTCACTAAGCATGGTTCTAGCAGGCTCTTGGAGAGTTCTATTTTTTCTTTCTACAACTCCATTTTGTTGGAGGAGTCTAGCAATAGAAAATTCATGTATAATACCATTATTATCACAAAAATCTGGAAAGCCACAAAAACGAAATTCAGTGCCATTGTCACTTCTAATTTTGATAATTTTCAGGCCAATCAAATTCTGAACTTTAGCAAACAGTGATACGAAATTTTTGAAAGCATCATCTTTATGTGCAAGAAACATCACCCATGTATATCTGGAATAATCATCAACAACAACAAAGCAAAATCTCTTACCATCAAGACTTGTAGTTTGTGTAGGACCAAACAGATCAAGGTGTAAAAGTTCAAGTGATTTTGAAGTAGAAACACATTTCTTGGGTTTAAAAGATCCCTTGACTTGTTTTCCAAATTGGCAAGCATCACATATCCGGTCCTTTTCAAATTTGATTTTTGGGAGACCTCTAACAAGATCCTTTTTAGAAATTTCTTTTAGTAAATCCATATTGAAGTGACAAAGTCTTCTATGCCATAACCATGGATTCTCATTTGTTACTTGGAGACATTTGAGATAGGAGGAATCAATTTTTTCAAGAACAACTACATAGACATCATTAACTCTTTTTTCTTTGAAAACAATGTTGAACTTTGAGTCAAATATGAGACATTCAAGCTTCTTGAACAATACAAACAGATTCCTATCACACAATTGGCTAACACTTAATAAATTGTAGCTCAGATTGTCAACGAGAAGAACATTGTGGATAAAGGTTTGACCATTCTTACCAACATCACCAATACCAACAGTTTTGGCTTTGTTATCATCTCCAAACGTTACCTTTCCACTTGCTTTTTGCTTGAGTGTAATGAATTGTGATGCATCACCAGTCATATGTCTTGAACATCCACTATCAATGAACCATTTTGATTCTCTAGCAATGTTATCCTGGTTCACCTACATACGAACCCACAAGATAATACTTGGTACCCTTTACATGTTGGGTCCTTGAGAGTTAGTCTTATGTCTAACCATCCACATGCATCTCATGCCATTCCTCATGTTTTTCTTAACATAACAGTTGCTCTTTATGTGACCAAATTGACAACAAAAGTTGCATACTGACATTGGATCAATCAAATGAACAGGTTTAATGAATCTGACTTGCCTCTCCTGTGGATAGCAAACTCATTTGCATTTTGATTCAATCTTATTTGATGAGTGTTAAGATAAGGTTCAGTGTCATTCTTTTAAAGACGGTTCTGTTTCATATGGTGTAACAATTGACATAAATCATCCATCCTTTTTCTTAGGCTACATTGCTCACTTCTGAGTGTGTCACAGAAATTTTTCTTTCTGTTAAATTCAGCAAGCACATCAGTTTCAGTCCTTTTCAGGTTTTCATTTTCATGCTTAAGACACTTGTTTTGTCGAAAAAGATTTGCATTGTCTTGTATTAGAAAACTAATTTTCTGCTTTACTTCCTTGTTTCTAACATAGGATTCTTTCAAGCTGTTATGCATTTTTTCTAGAAAGGAATTAACCTCAACATCAGATTCACTATCACTATCAGTTTGAGAGTTGCATTGTATTACCTCTTCATCTCCAATGGCCATGAAAGCCACTTGAGCAGATTTTTCTTCTTCTTTAACTTCACCTTCTGAGTTGCAATCATTCCAGGTGATTTGAAAATTGTTGAACTTTGATTTTCGTTCAACCTTGTTCTCCTTCTTTTTCTTCATTGGACACTCATTTGCATAGTATCCTGGTTGGCCACATTCGAAACACTTATCAGTCAGCTTCTTGTTGAACTCCAGTTTCCCTCTGTTTCTGAAGTCATTAGACTGATTTGGGAAGGAATTGCTGGATCCGCCTTTCCTAAGTCTTCTCTTGTCGAGAATTCTTTTGAAACTTCTTGTGATGAGTGCAATATCACTGTCATCACCTTCCAAATCATTTTCATCCTGTGAGGCTGTTTCATCTTTGTCTTGTGAAGCTTTCAGAGCAATACTCTTTCTTACATTGGTGTCTTCTTCATCCTGCATCTTAGATTTAAGTTTCAGTTCGTAAGAAGTTAGAGAGTTAATCAGAGATTCAATGGGTAGAGTATTCAGATCCTTGGCTTCCTCAATGGCAGTCACTTTGCTTTCCCAGTCCTTTGATAGAGCATTCAGGATTTTTCTGTTCTTTTCACCTAGAGAGTACTTCTTCTCAAGCACCTCTAAATCCTTGATCAGATCATTAAATCTGCAATACATTTTGTCAATGTTTTCATGAGGCTCCATCTTAAACGATTCATACTTAGTGACCAGAATGGATTTCTTTTGCTCTCTCACATTCTCGCTTCCCTCATGGATCTCTCTAAGTTTGTCCCAAATTTCTTTTACAAATCTGCAGCCTTTGACTCTAATGGACTCATTTGAGTCTAATGCACTGTATAAAACATTCATAACCTTGGCATTTAGAGTGAGATGAGTTCTATCTTCAACAGTCAACTCACTTCTAGTTTTTTGTCTTGGCCTATGAGTAATTTCATCAACAATAGTCGCATCATATGAACCTTCACTAACAATGAACCACAACTCAATATCAATGGATTGTAAGAATATAATCATCCTTTCCTTTCAACTCACATAATTTGATCCATTGAACATTGGAGGTCTAGTGACAGATTGTCCCTCAAAGAACATGGCATTGTTGGTTGTCATGTTTACTCCCAAGCCGATTGAGTTTAATCTCTAAGAGACCAAGCTCTGATACCAATTGTAAGGATCGAAGACAACCTAAGAGGGGGGGTGAATTAGGTTTTCTAGAACCAGCTAAGATATAGGTCACTCTTTTTCAGGCCTACCCTTCTTTTCTCAAAGACCACTCAATGGATCAGTATACAAGGAAGCACAGGTGTTTGTGAGATGAAAAAGTGAACAATTTATATAGTAAAGCTGTAAACGAAAGTAGAGAAACAAACCAGGATTCAAACTCAAATTGAGTTTGAACAACACTTTATATAACAAGCTACTTCAAATTGAACAATCTTTCAACCAATATCTTGTGTACAATGGAAGGATCACTTCCTTCTTGTCCCAAACCACACTTGGTCACGCAAGGAAATTTTACAAGCACTCAGAAAACTCTCACAATGCTACACTATTGAAGAAGCTGTATCACACTTGAAAAGCTATAAGACAAAAATGCACAAGCTAAGAATACAAATATTCCTTTTGAGTATTCTAACACTTGAATCACTCACGATCTGATATAGACTTGATGTGCAAAGTATTTTTGAAGTCGTTGACTTTGTTCATTTTATAGGAGATCAAAAAACTCTTCAATAAATGCTGTCAACGGATACATGGCATTTAAAAAGTCAACTAGTTGTTGGTGCTGTCAGACGTCCGATAGTCAGTTTTTATGCGTCCGAACGAGCTCAGTGAGTTTGAGAAATTTTCTTTAACCTCTTAGGACGTCCGATCCCCTCTCACCATGCGTCCGAGGGTGAGATGCAGACTTGAAGGTTCCTCTTCAATTCCTTCAGACGGCCGATGCGTCCAATGTTTTATGTCTGAAGTGCAGCAACGCTTGTCGGACGTCCGATACACAGGTGTTGAGCGTCCGATCATGATCAGTAATCGTAGAAGCCCTGACTTGTCTATTTCGGACATCCGAGACAGAGTTCTTCATGCGTCCGAAGTTACTCAATGAATGTCGGACGTCCGATACTCTCCTTTTGTGCGTCCGACATCTTTCTCATCACTTTTCACCTTTTTGATCTTCTTTTTGCTATGAGTCCACAGTCCTGTTTTAATGCCATTTCTGAAAGTAGTTTTTACAAAAAGTATTAGTATCATCCGTTTGTTTTGTAATCATCAAAAGATATGAATTAATATAAACAGATTGTAATTCATCAATTTGAAGTAGCTTGTTTGAATTAACCTACAAACTCAAGAGGAGTTGGATAGTTAATTGGTTTGCTATTCTTTCCTTTTTATTTACTTATTGTTACGTTTGAAATTTGTACTTTGTTTATCTCTTCTACTCACAAGCACTTGTGCTTTCTCATTAACTGCTCCATTGTGTGGTCGCCTAGAAAACAGGGTTGTTTTCGGGCCTACCAATTGGTATCAGAGTTTGGTCTCTTAGAGATTAAGCTCAATCGGCTTTGGAGTAAAGATGACAACCAATAATGTTATGTTTTTTGAAGGAAATTCTGTCATTAGACCACCTATGTTTAATGGGTCAAATTATGTGAGTTGGAAAGAAAGAATGATTATTTTTTTGCAATCTATTGATATTGAATTGTGGTTTATTATTAGTGAAAATTCATATGATGCCTCTCTTATAGATGAAAATACCCAGAGATCTAAACCAGAAATAAGAAGTGAACTGACTGCTGCGGATAAAGGTCATCTCACATTAAATGCAAAAGTTATGAATGTGTTATATTGTGCTTTAGATTCAAATGAATCTATTCGAGTCAAAGGCTGCAAGTCAGCCAAGAAAATTTGGGATAAATTAAGAGAAATTCATGAAAGTAGTGATAATGTTAGAAACAAAAGAAGTCCATTCTAGTTACAAAATATGAATCTTTCAAGATGCAACCTCATGAAAACATTAATGAGATGTATTGTAGATTCAATGACCTCATTAAGGATTTGGAG